TTTTGTTTCTTTACCTCCCTTTTCTTTTCATTTTTTTTTAATTTTTTTATTTTCAATAAAAAAAACTCTGCTGATATTGATTATTGAGTGTATACCTTAAATCAATCAGTTCTTCTTTCTCAGTATAAGACAATTTTATCTGCTCTTCTATTGAAGTATGATATGGTTCTTCGTTCTAGAAAAGCTTTGTTTTAAATTATGTAACTTAAGAAGTCTTTTGTGATTTACTTTGACTGGACAAATATAACATGGATAAAAGATGATTCTAGTCATATTAGTGCAACTAGTAACAAAGGTTTACTGCATTCCATCAGATAAGTGTCGATCATTATTGTATATTCATGTGTTTGACATCGATCTTTGGAGAACTATAAGTGCTGCTTTGGCCATACATTCTTATTGATTTTGAAGAACTATAAATAATATTTTGATTATATGTTATTGTTGATTTTAAATGCTTAGTTGTTTCTTTTATGTTTCAAGCACCTAAATGCAAATATTGTGATGTTCCAATGACCATTTACTTGCTGATTTTAAATGCTTAGCTGTTGGTTTTATATTTAAAGCACTTCAATGCAAACATTGTGAGGTTTCAACGACCATTTACTTATCGATCTTAAATACTCATTTGTTGATTTCGTGCTTCGAGCACTCGAAGTAGAATACTACGAGGCTCGAGATGACCGTTATTCCAGGGCTTGAATACTTCTTTGCGGGTCTATGTTCTTTTATTTCCGAATGCCTCCCTTGTGGGCTGTTTTACTCGTTGTTTGGTGGGTTTAAACATTGTGATTTTTAGGGCTTTGTCTACTGATTCACGTACTATTTTAGAGCCAATCTGCTAACTGATTTAGGAGAGTTTACACACTATCTTGGACTGGATTTCTTAGCTGATTTTGGGACATTTGAAATTGATGCTTTAAGCTTACATGAGGGCTGCTTCGGAATTTTAAAGTTACTGTTTTAGGGCTGATTTTGAGAGTTTTGTCTATTGTTTTGGGGTTGATTTTGATAGCTTTATTTACTGTTTTGGTATTGGATTTTGAGAGCCTTGTCTACTGTTTTGGAGGCATTAAACCCAGTATTTGCAGGGTTGTTTTAATCCATGTTTAGAGGCAATTTGGTGGGCTAATTTTGAGGCAATCTACACACATATTTTGGCGAGATTTATGTAGCCTTTAAGTGCTGATTTACATACGGTTTAGAATTGGTTTTACGGACCCTTTTTTGCCCGCTTTTTGGGTTTCAATTGATTGTTATTTAAACGCTTTTAGGTCAATTCACTCGTTGTTTTCCCCCTTAACTTTATTTAGTTTTGGAAGCGGGTCTTGTCTTATCCTTCTTTTGTTTTATTTGTTGTTAAATGGTTAAGTCATAAAGTCATAAAGATGGGGATTGATGATTTAATTAATTGGAAGATATAGAAAACCTTAAATCACCTTAAGCAGAAGTTAAAGAGTAGGCTTCCTAGAGTTTTAGGAAGAGTCCATCCACCTAATCCTCAGCATAGTCTTCCTAGATTTTAGGAGCATACCCTAGGTGAGAGTCCATCCACCTAATCCTCAGCATAGTCTTCCTAGATTTTAGGAGCATACCCTAGGTGAGAGTCCATCCACCTAATCCTCAGCATAGTCTTCCTAGATTTTAGGAGCACACCTTGGGTGAGAGTCCATTCACCTAATTCTCAACACAGAATTCTTAGATTTTAGGAGCACACCCTAGGTGAGAGTTCATACACCTAGCCCTCAATTTAGGCTTCCTAGATTTTAGGAGCATATCCTAGGTGAGGGTTCATCCACCTAATTCTTAGCATAGGCTTACTAGATTTTAGGAGCACACCCTAGGTGAGAATCTATCTACCTAATCTCTGTAGTGTTACCTCCTAAGGTTTTAGGAGCATACCTTAGGTAAGAGTCTATTCACCTAATCCTCGAATGCACAGTGAAACTGGACACTTGACCCTAATTCACAAATTGACTAAGACACTAGCATGATACACTGAGACATGACCCATGTTTCCTTAATTAAATCAACAGTGAAATTCCCTCAATGACTTAATCTACAATAAAACCCAGTGTATCAGGATTTGAGCTTGAATATGACACTCAAATCCTCCTGGCAATTGAGGGAATTTCTTAACGCCACATATGAATCATCGGACTAAGATAAGTCTAGGGTCTAGGTGGCGAGGGCGATGACGACATTGTTTATGTGTGCTTAAACGAGGGATACAAAATGAGATTATTAGAATAGTATCTTTTACCTCAAGGATCTTCTATAAGAGGAAAATATTGATGATGCTATTCGGCGACATTTGGTGGGATTTTCTTGGTGGGATCGTTGCCCCCGACACTCTTAGGTTGTCAGTAGTTCTAGTACGATTAGAGTGACTAGTCTGTGGGCTACACGACTTTACAAAAATATTTACAAAAAATATTTACAAAAATAAAATAAAAATTTCTTTTGCATGATTAAGAGAACTCTGCATCAAAAAGACTTGAATAATAACTTTTATATAAAATCTTTCTATGAAAATTTATAAAGGTCCACGGCTAGTCACTTGGATTGAGGTTAAGAACTGCCTTCTGTAGATTGTTGGGCCGGTAACTCCTGTTCAAGGTCGAGAAGCACACAACCCAGCTCTGAGCCCTCACTTTCACGAGGGTCTTATACCCAGTCCTGATCTTTCATATGTGGCTAAGTGTTTCGTTTGTTTGTGATTTATACGAATCGTTTTTCTAACTTTTGTGCTGAGTTTTCTCGTCTTGTTTAGTTTTTCTTGCAAGTTTATTTAAATCTCCTGCAAATCATGCTACGCT